ATATATATCTTATCACAGTATAAGAGATTCAAGAACTTGTTTAAACAGCTAAAATAATCTAAATTATCTCAGCATAAAAAGCATGACTATACTATTTCTATTAAAGAAGAAAAATCATTAATATATAGAAAGATTTACCTAATATCTAAGAAAGAGTCACAGATACTATAAAAGTACATTAATAATTAACTAATAAAAGATAATATCAGATCTTCAAAGTCACTAGCAGAATATAGAGTCCTATTTATACTAAAAAAATATAATAGTTTACAGCTATACATGGATTATCAATCACTTAATATTATCATAATTAAGAATTAATATCTGTTGCCTTTAATCTCGGAAACCTAAGACAAAATACAAGAAATAAAGTAGTTTATCAAGCTTAATATTATAAATATATATTATTATATACACATCATAAAAGATAAAAAATAGAAAACCGTATTCAGAATAAAATACAGATACTTTAAGTACTTGATTATACTATTCAGACTCACCAACATATTAGCATTATTTTAGTAATACTTTAATAAGGTCTTAAAAGAATATCTTAACAGATTCATGATCGCCTATCTAAACAATATATTAATCTTCTTAAAGATTGAGGAAGAATATATTAAGCATATAAGACTAGTTCTGTACAAACTATACTTATATCAGTTATAATACAAGCTGAAAAAGTATAAATTCTATATACAGAAAACAGAGTTTCTGAGATATTAGATATCTATAAAAAGAGTCTATACTGAGCAAGCTAAAGTACAAGCTATACGAGACTAACCTTAACTCAAGAATCTGAAAGAGCTATAATAGTTTATTAGATTAGTTAATTATTATTAATAATTTATAGATGGATATGCTATCCACATAATATCACTCTTCAAGTTTATAAAAAAGTTAAAGAAGTATAAGTAGAAAGAACTGTCAAACCCTAGGATCGCTTCTCCCTGTTCCTGTTAGCTTAGCTTCCGTTCCAATACGTACCTGCGAACTGAATCGAGGCAAGTCAGACTGATGACTATCTAAAGGCGACTGGTCCTGAACAGAAGAAGAGAAGTAAGGCCAGATAGTGCCGCGCAGCTATCCGTAAGTAAGTGCAGACGAGTATTGTCGCTAAGCTTTACCAAAACATATGGTTACTTAAAAACAGTATTATTAAACACGAAGAACAGAACTAGCTAAGTATATGAAAGAGTGTCCTTATATCCTATCCTTTGTCATGGCGTTGTCATGATATATCATGCCACTAATATATTATTTCATGTCACTGCCATGTTCTATCGTAGCGCTAACATATTATAGCGTGTCGGTGACATGTCCACGTGGTCACGTGCTGTGTAACTGCTCCAGTCATCGGTTGCTCAGATCAGGATTCTACTCGATAAGAGTCCTTGCTTTTTCCGGACGTGGTCTTCTGCCTGATGAGTCCGCCTCACTAGTTCGTTCAGCTAGCAGGGGTCCGTAACAAGAACCACAGCAGCACGCGTTTAAAGATATTAAACAGTAACTTATTATATTACCAGTACTTATATAACACGACCCGGAGAAAGAAACCATTATTAAGACTAATATATTAGACTATACTGTTAGAATGTATATAACGCAACCAGAAAAAGATGGAAGACCTAGATTAATTACATTTTACTTAAGAAAGTTGGTTCAGGCGGAATTTAACTATAAAATTCATAATAAGGAATTACTGGCTATTATAATAACATTCAAGCAGTAAAGAGTCTATTTTAAAGAGATAAAACACACTATTATCATAAAAATAGACTATAGGAACTTGACCTACTTTATAATAATCAAAGAGTTGACTAAAAGACAGGCAAGATGGGCTGAGATTCTGTTACAGTATAACTTTTATATTATATATTATAAAAAAACAGAAAACAAACATGCAGATATACTGAGCCGCAGGCCAGACTATAAACTAGATAAAAAGACTATTAAACCAGCCATCTTGAAACAGAATACAGATAGATTGATCAGTTACAATAAAACCAATCTAGCAGTAATATTGGAAATAGGCAGTAATCTAACTAGATGATTAGCTAAAGCTATTAAAAAAGACAAGATACTTTAAAAGATAAGTAAGGGCTCACTGGATAAGGTTATTATTAATAAAGATAGACTAGCCTACTTTTACGGATTAATCTTTATATCTACTATTATAAGAATAAAGATTATAGCTAAACATCATGATAAACTACCCAAGGGTTATTTAAGAGTTGAAAAAACTATAAAACTAATTATAAGGAATTATTACATTCTAAACCTTAGATAGAAAATATATGATTATATTAGATAATATAAGACATGTATCAGAAATAAGCCTGTAAGATATTAATCTTATAAATAAATATAAATACAAAAGGCACTATAATAACTATAAGAATAGATAATAATTAACTTTATTAGTTCACTACCTGAATCAGAAGGATTTAATACTATTATAGTTATTATTAATCATCTTACTAAATACATCTATCTTATACCAAGTAAAATGACAATAACAGTAATACAGATAATAAAACTGTTTTTAAGAAATATTGTCATATATTATAGGATGTTAAAGTATATTATATCAGATTAAGATAAGTTATTTATCTTAAAGTTCTAGAGATCACTCGCAGATCTTATAAAAATTAAAGAATAAATAATAATAGCTTACTACCTGCAGACAAATAGACAGACAGAAAGGGTTAATCAGATAATTAAGCAATATCTGAGATATTATATTAATTACTAACAAAATAACTGGATAAATCTACTATTAATAACACAGTTTTTATATAATAATACCAGTTACTTAATTATTAGAGTCTTATTATTCTATGTAAATTATGGTTATCATCCCAGATTCTTAAAAATACTATTAAAAAAGTAATTAGTTATTAATATAGCTAAGAATATTATTATATTCATAGGAAACATATATATCTAGTTATCTTAAGATATCAAGTTTATGAACTTACAAAGCAAGATATATTATAATTACTAACACAGGAAGAAACCTGATTTAAAAAGAGGAAAGAAAGTATTTCTACTCTACAGAAACATCAAGATAAAATGATCAAGCTAGAAACTTAACCATCACAAACTAGGACTATTTATTATCAAAGATAAGAAGAGGCTGGTTAACTACAAGTTGAGGCTATCAAAATCAATAAACAAAATTCATCCAGTATTTTATATCTCATTGCTGGAACCTGTACCAAAGAATACTAGAATTATAAAGAATATAAAGATCAATAATAATATAGAATAAGAATATAGAGTTAAAAAGATCCTGGATTATAAGAAGATTAGCAGTAAGTTATATTACTTAGTAAAATAGGAGAAATATAATACCTCAGAAAATATATAAGAACTTATCAAGAATTTGACAGGCTGTTACTAGCTTATGAAGCAATACTATCAGCAGGCAAGTCAAAATTTGCCCAGAAAGAAGGAGAGCTAATCAGTTAGGACAAACTAAGATCAAGCTCGGACATAGCAACTAGTTTAACATTATCACTCATAACAGTACTAGTCTCAGCCTCGGATATTGTAGCTTTTTAATCATGCAATCTTTCTTACATCTCATATTTCTTTTACTCTTACTTCTTAAGCTCTTCTAGCTCTTCAATTTCCTTTATATCACGTGCTATGAAATTGCCAGCTTATCTTTATAATAACCACTTTTTTTTCTGCAATTGAAGAAGTTTCACCAGAATAACTTCCTCCTCTTCTTTAATAGAATTTTGAGCCTTAACCAAGCGCTTCCACTCAGCATCAGAGAAGGAAAGATTAGGCATCTTATAATAAACACTGTTTGTTTTAACACACTCACTACAGTGATCAGAACTCTCAGATTTGATACACACCTTGTATAGACGAATGCAGCGCTCGTAAGGGAAAATCACAAGAAAATCCTTATTCTCGATCCGTCAGCAAAGGCTCTTCTTATGAACAGAAGAACTAGATGACATGATTAATGATCTGGATAGAATTTTGAGAAAGATAATACCAGACACTTATCTTAAAGAGAGGCACCGCAGATTTATGTTCCTTGAGGACAAGAACTCTTGAAGGAGGAGAAGTAGTGTTACGGACCCCTGCTAGCTGAATAACTAGTGAGGCGGACTTATTAGGCAGAAGGCCACGTCTGGAAAGACAAGGACTCTTATCAAGTAAAATCCTGATCTAAGTAATCAACGCCTGGAATGGTTACACAGCACGTGACCACAGTAGACATGTTACCAACATACTATAACATATCAGCATTATAACAGGACATGGCAGTGATATGAAATAATATATTAGTAGTATAATATATTATGATGATGTTATAATAGAGGATAGGATATAAGGACACTCTTTTATATACTTAGCTAGTTCTGTTCTTCGTGCTTAATATAATTATCTTTAAGTAACCATATATTTGAAAAGCTTAGCAACAACACTCGTCTATACTTACTTACAGATAGCTGCGCGGCACTATCTGGCCTTACTTCTCTTCCTTTGTTCAAGACCAGTTGTCCTTAGATAGTCATCAGTCTGACACTACCTCGACCCAGTTCGAAGGTACGTATACCAGTGAAGCTAAGCTAACAGGAACAGGGAAGCGATCCTAGGGTTTGACAAAGATGTCTAACACATCAAAACACCAGTTAAACACGTTATTTTGTTGATATAGTGGACTATATAAGCTTCATCTTTTCATGGAGGCATGTTTGGCCGGGCGCGCCGGCCCACTCGCTTGTGGGGCCCACTCGCTTGTGGATTACGTTAAACATGATGACATGATATGTATGGTTTCAGATCCTTATTATTAGGGGAAGCGGTATAAAGGCGGAAGGGGTGCCTAGAATTGCTATCTGAGGCCTACTTACAATCTTTATGACATGTATTACAGTATATTCAACGCGGATCTGCCCGCAGAAACAACCGCTGATTGCCTTTTTTTTTTAAAAAATTTTTTCCTTTCTGATTCATTGCTGTTTCATGAGCAAGATTGAATGACATCTATACTTAGTGAGTTATAGATATGGTTATAAACTCATGGGTTTGTGGCTAAATAAGTACCTGGTGGTTGGCCCCAACAATTATTAATGACCGTGACTTATTAGTCATCTACAGAGCAGGGAACATGAATAAAGATGAACCGAAGCGGATTAGTATGTCTAGGATTTATGAAGTCGCAACTTGCAAGAGTATGGAGGCATAACTGTGACTAGCCGCAGATGCTCCCAAGCCATGTTTCTGCTGCCAGATGGGCATGGCTCAAGGATCTACATCATACAGCATGGCTGCTCCATCGACTCTTTGCGCGGATCCTCCGTCCCCACGCGTAGAAGAGAAACGGAACTGGAATCAAGACCGCGGCAATGCAGCCAAACACCGTGATGCCCCAGTCTACCCCAATGTTGCGGAACATCGGCTCCACAAAAAGCGGGAAGGCGCCTGCCAGGATGGATCGCAGTAGAGTGGTGGCTGCGATAGCGCTGGCGCTGAAGCGGAGGAAAGTGTCGACCAGGTAGTTCAGCGAGCTTTGGAAGATGGTGGTGAACCCGAACCCAGTGAATGCGATGCCAATTAGGGATGGCCAGTAGTTGGTTTTGGGCGATGAGGTCCCTGAAATAGTCAGTGGAGGAACGAGACTGAGGAACGTGCCTGAACTGACATCCGAAGAGAAATAAGCCTCCAGTGAATACTAACCCGCCAACCATCATCGGAGGCAGTCTGGCTTCGGGTACGGGCTTGCCATCGTTCTCACGGAGCTTTTTGAAGTAGAATTTGTTGTTGTAGACGTTGAACAAGGCGGCGAAGAAGATTCCGATGAGGAGCGCAATGAAAGGGAGGTTCCCGGTAACCGGTCCCCAGCCGCGGATCTCTTGAAATTCAATCGCGAAGCTTTCAAGGTTCACATAAAGAATCGCTGGCAGGCAGTTAATACTTGTCGATTGAAGAACCCGGCAACTGTAGTGACTACCAACCGTAAACGAACGCCCCGTAGGACGACATGAGCAGGCCAATGGGGGTGCCCAATGTCTGGAAAGGGCGAATGAGATATTTCTGCGACATCTCGGAGATGGACACGTCCCATTCCTCGTGCTATCGGTATCATGCCGCTGTTAGCCTGACGCAGCCTGGTGTCTTCTCGTATTCGCATTTGCTTACCTTCGCATGCAAAGCCCAGTTCTTGCCTTCCAGTCGCAGTTGGCGTGCCTTGTGAACCAACAAGGCGGGCGCATAGCTCTCCTCCAGCAGGAATAAGTCCAGCACAAACTGAGTCATCATCATGATGCCCGTCAGGTATTCCGTCCAGCGCCAACGAAGATAGCTGGATGCCATCGCGCCACCAATGATGGGCCCTAGACATGGCCCGCCGACGAGAGTGAGCGAATAGACGACGATAGCTACACCGCGGTGCTCTGGCTTCCAAATGTCCGCCATAGCACCGCCCGTTATCGCCACACTAGAGCTACCGAAAAATCCAGAGAAGAACCGGGTTATCAACAGGGTCTGGATGTCCTTGGCCGTTGCTGTCCCAAACGAAAAGATTGCGGCTATAAAATAAGGCTGGATTCCTCATTAGCTCGGCCAAGTCACTGGGCCTGCCCAGCAGGCGCATGAGAAGAAGCCTACCACGATGGCGACCATTTTCCGCCCATAGACCTCGCTCAATGGTGCCCAGATCAATGGGCCCAGCCCAAGGCCAAACACGAGCAAGCTGATTCCTGCAGTGGATACTTCTGTAGCGACGTGGAATTCTTGTGCAATCTGCTGCATCCCCGCTGAATAGACGGCCGACGCAAAGGTGATCCAACATGTTGTCATTCCGTATAGAATCGTAGTTTTGGCCTTCTTTCGAAAGGGCCAGTTGATGGGACGGTATGGGTCATCCTGACCATCAAAGTCGACCAAAGTATCTGGCGAGGTTGCTTCATAGAGCAGGGGGTGCGTAAAACCTGCGTCGCTTTTGGTGATCTCTGGGCCGTGGGGTTGAGACATGGCAGAGATTGAAGATGGTAGTCGGCGATAGGAACATAGTAAGAAGCCTTGCCATGAATAAATTGGAGCTCCTCATTTAAAAGGTGTCCATGCTGCCCGATGCTCGGCCAGCCTGACTTATGCGCAAGCGATGGCCGGGCCGGAGAGTTGAGGGAGATTTGGCTCCGCTCGCATAGGCTTACCCGACCCCGACCCCTCCCAGTAAATTGGACTGGGAGTCTACTGATGGTGGCACTTCTCTGGAAAAGGTGCGAAACCACCTTGTGACTTAACTATGTGATCAAGGGAAGCGCTGTCCCCTGCTTGATCTACGCCTGGTCCCCTGGTGGTTCGCTAATCCACTCTGGTACCAGCCACCCAGGAATCTGGGAATAAGCATCGAGATGCAGCATTGACCCGACAATGTTTTCTCGTTCATCTACAGAGCCCTCTGTATGCGGAACGCCGGGAAAAAGCTCCTGCAAGGGGTCCAGTGATTCCATCAGGAGACTACTTGGAAGATCCCCCATCCCGGGGCAGGCTAGGTCGTATACCATGCCCGTGCCCGAGGATGTCTCGGGGCCTGGGACTGCTTGTATTATCTCATCAGTTGGGGCCACTCTCCGCTTCCATCGGCCGAGCGGGTCGAGCTTTTGCATCTCTCGCACGTACTGCGCCTTGGCCATCAGCCGCCTGATAGGCCGCCATAGGGTACCCTTTCTCCCACTCTCTTTCATCTTCCAGTTGTTGTATATGATGTTGACATACTCCCATGCGCGGTCACAGTCTGTCGAAGGGGGTCGGGTGCAGATTTCAGACAGCACAAAAGCAACTGCATGCCATTGGATGTGGGTCTTTGAGTGCCAACTCCAATGGGCAATCTGCTCATTTGTGAGCACCAGGCTGGATAACTTCAAAACCTCAACGGAGGACGAGAACAGATGATCGCGCACAGGACCCGATAGGTTAACACCACATTCCTTTTCGCCCAGGGGGTATCGTGCAATGAGCCACGCACGCGCAACCATTAGACGTGCAACAAAGGTCGAAGCCAAGAAGAAGGGCTTGGAGATATCGCAGTTCTTCAGATATCGTGTCTCAAGCCGATCGTGCAGCTTTTGGACTAAGGCTTCTCGTTCTTCCAGGGACAGTCTGCCAGTCGAGAGCCCCGGACTACCCATGCTTAGAGAAACACAACTAAGCTTCCACATCGTCCGCATGACTTCACACCTAATGAGACAAAAGTACATGTCAGTTGCCCCCTCCCGCTCAACTGGGGGCTCAGTCATTTCGGCAGTCAGGTCGGAATCTTCGATATTCAGCGGCAATTTCGTATCAAACGCGGAGTCGCGCACGATTGGCTCACATCCATGATACTCAGACGAGCGGGCATCTAGCAGACAAATATGCCACCATAGCCGGCGCCGTAGTTCTGTTTCCATGGGTTTCAGCCCAAACACGATGCCATCACGATGGAGACCCATAGCCTGTGCGATGTGAAAGATGAGGGACGTTAGAGACCAGACAGTCCGGGAATCGTCTTCGTTGCGTAATGCAAATAGAAAAAGCACGGCGGCTTGCAATAACGTTACGCTTTGCGTATTCAGCAGGTCGGCACGGGCCAGAGCTTGTTCAGTGGCGAAGAGATAGGTCTCGGATGCATATGCCTTGGAGACACCTAAAGTGCTCATACTTTGCTCAGAGTCCATGCTTATCACCGTGGAGTAATATATTGCGAACAACAGGGCTTCGGTCTCCCTACCAAGTGACTCCAGAGATGCAATGGCATCCCAATGGCCCTGAGCCAACGTGGGCATGTGGAAGATACGCACCATCGGCGCAACATTCTCTCTGAACAATTCAAAGAGCTTGACTGACTGCGCTAACGGTGGATGGTAGGGACGAAGCGAATGAGCAAGAGCCCGAAACCCCAATATGGCGGCATTGGATCCAGAGGGTAAAGGTCGCTCCAGAACGGACCCCTCTGAAAGGGCATTGTCGTCTTCCTCCAGTTCGGGTTCATGTAACAGATCTCGTAGTTCGGCAATCTATACGAACCATCGTTAACTGAAAGGCTATACAATGAGATTTTCGATGGGCCCTCTGGTGGGCGCACGGAGCCACCGACATACCTCGTCCCCCAGATTCGCCCAGAGCACGTTACTGACATAATAGCTTTGCGTTTCATTGATAAGTAGGCGCCCTAGGCGCTGCTCGATGGATAGTTCCGCATCCAAACTGCTCGTGTAGGGACCAGGCCGGAGTCGGTGATCTTGTGACGCTCCACTTTCCGTCGTTGACGATCGCAAGGTTGGCTCCATAGAGTTGGGCGCGGAGCCTCTCTGGTTTTCCGAGGTCTCAAAGCTTCTGATAATAGTTTCCAACCTGGACAACCGTTGCGACAGCTGCGCATTCAAAGCACCGCGGGGTCGCTTGGGGGCCCTACCCCGCCCAGGCGGATATACACATTCCACGCCGGAGCGAATGCAGTTGGTACAAGGCTGCTGCCGGTCACATTTCACCTTTCGTTGTCGACAGGAAGAACAACTGCGGATATGGAAATGAAGTGATGAGGGAGAATTGGTTGGTCTCGGTGTCATTTCATTGGCATTCATTATGACCCGCTCGATCGCTGGCTACCTAGGTCCCTTGATTGTTATCGTTTGCGCCGAAGAAAAAGCGACCGAGTAGAATGCTGTACACTCGTCTCCAATGTGATGATGGTAGGGGTAACAATTTGAGATCATGCGATGAAGGTACTGTGTAAGCAGGTAAGAAGTCCGACGCGACCACCTTGAACGCTTGAAGGGAGGTGGGTCCGCCAAGCCGCATAAGCTTATGCGCCCCCGACGGCGATTGCTTGCTTGTCCCAGGGGCGGCCAGAGCGGACTGCCAGAGCGGACTGCCAGTGCTCTTCCCCAGATTCATATATCTACTGTTATCCTCTGAGGCTGGCCGAGTCGCGCTTGCTGCCACTAAGAGATTGACGGGTGAGGCCAACTTGGGGTCCTTGATAATCCTCGAAGCAACAAACGGGCCTCTCTTCCCCCATACTTACAGCTTTTTGGTCGTCGTTCAAGAGAGGGCTTGAGAAGACCGAAATGTTGATTTGTCGCCTGACACAGGCATCCCTAAGGAAGCAACCGAACGTTGAGAGCATACATTGGTATATAACTAACGCAGCATGACAGTTCAATGAGTCCGAAGAACATTAAGTAACGCACTCGAACTTGCAGAGACTAACGCAAAAACGAGGATACATCTCTGCGCGCATCTTGACCTCCCGGGAAACGAGTGGCAATTGGGCAAGCCTCTGCCAGACTCCGGGTACTCCACATCAAAATTTGGGCCAACCCGTGAATATTTTTGACTTGCCAGAGGCGGCCTGGAAAATCGTGGCTTCCATGGCTGATACCCGTCAAATACGTGGTTTGCAGGTGGTAGACTAGTCCATCAATAGACAAACGACACTATCGACTCAAGCATGCACCGAGGTGGTACACTCAATCAGGGGCCCGCTGACCGCTGTTTAGTATGATCCCGACTCATCGCACACAAACCGTCTGGGGCTTCAGTGGTGGTGGATGCGATACAGCGAGTACCCGGCCGGGAGTCGTAAGCCCGGAAAAAGGGCTCCAATTTGATTTGAGGCATTAAGGAAGGGGGTCTTGAACCTCGGCTGATTGGTGCATTATCGCTGGTGGAGATGCAACCAATTCGGTGTAGATACGGAGTAGTAATCAGATATATTGAAGTGGTGACAGATAGCTTTTATGAACGATTGTGAATGGATTCCCGTTATAACGGGTGATGTTTGAATAAATTAGCCAACTACTAATCCGAAGGGAAAGGGTGAACAGCCGAGGTCCAGAAATCCAGGATGGATCAAGGATGGGAATTCCTAGAAAAGGAGTGGAACCCCGAGGGAGTCGCCAGTCCCGACTGGGCAAGTGCGGCCTCCACCGCGGACCGCGCTTGCCTTTTTCCAACCACGACCTCACTGACACTGACACCTCACACGGTCAGTCGGTCACATCAGAGGTGGACCGTTGGACGTTGAGACCTGAACCCCTTTCGAGTTTCGACCCTTGATAAATCATAACACTGAGTACCTACCTAGTAGTACTTCCTATCCACTAGTTTCATCTGCACCAATCATATATCATTTCCTAGCAGCGTATCCGGTAGTCGGTACACCATACTGTAAAAGTGATAGTAACTGGCAGATCTTTCCACGGTAATCCAATGGTCCTCTTCTGTACGGGGCAATATGAATAAACATAGATTAGGGCTAACAATAATACTGTCTACTGCCTAGAAACAAAAGATCTGGTCGCTCATCTTGGAGATCGACCCTGGCGCCTGGAATCCCATTCCAGCCAAGGCCTTTTTGCACGCGTTCACCATGCCCGGGGGCCCACAAAGCAGGACCTTCGTGTCCGCCGATGGGGCAGGCAACCGCTCGCCGAGCACAGTTGGGTTCACGTGGCCTGTCCCGTACATCCACCCTTCGGGAGCCGTGTCGAGCATATACCAGAGCTTGAAGTTCTTGGGATATTTGCGTGCAAAGGCCTCCAGCTCTTCGCGCAACAGGATGTCTCCCTCCGCCCGGCTAGCGTAAATCAGGCTAATCTCGGTTGTATCCCGCTCGTCCTCGCAAATGGCGCGAATGAGTTGGTACATGGGTGTGATGCCTGTTCCCCCAGCCACCATCCCTATCTTGGCACAGAGCCCTCGGCTGTAGCGCATGGCCCCCTTGGGTCCCCGAAACTCCACCTCGTCACCCACAGTCAGGTTGGCAAGGTACTGGCCGCTCAATAAACCGTCCGGGTAACACTTGATGACCAATTCGAGTCGACCCAAGTCCAGGTTGTTCGACACTGGGGTATAGGATCGGCTCACGCTGTTGCCATTGATGTTGGCGCGAATGGCAACATGCTGTCCGATAGGAAGACCGATCACCCCCTTCATATCAGGCAAAGCGAACACAAATCGGTACACACTTGGCGACAACATAACCTTCTGAACCAGAGGTAGATGCTGGTATTCTTTGGAGTCAAGGAACCCTTTGGCCATGTGAGGGTCTGCCCGGGTCACTTTTCGCGCCTTGACGTGCGGAGGGTAGCGCATGAACCCAGATTCGATATTCATCAACTTGGAGGCTTGACGCGCTACGACACTACCGATAGCGCAAGAGATGAGAGTAGCTGCAAGGAATCCATTGGCGAAACCCCCACCCGCCAGTCTGAATTCACCGAACTCTCGTGGCGTAACTCCCTTGAGAATCCTTCTAATGTCCAACACGCCGGGAATTCCCCGGTTCAGAACGTAGAGCAGCGTTGCCACCGCTCCCAGGGCCCCGGTGATCGCTGGGATTGAACGATTGGCTGTCGGCTGTTCAGTCTTCTCAGACTTCTGGGCAATCACACGGACTGCTTTTGGAGCAACGTATTCTTTTGCATCCTTCAGGGTCCCGATCAAGTACTCCTGCAAAATCTCGCGGGAGTCCTCGGAATGCCCAACATCCTCAAAGTCTGCAGTGGCATCCGAGCCTGCGGTCTCAATAAGAACATCTGCACCTCCTGGGTGGTCTTGCAGATAATCCGTGATATCAAAAACTATTCAACAGTCTTAGTATCCGATTTCTACCACTTAAAGGCCGCAAGATGTCCTACCTTGCCCGTGGATGGCAACCCAAAGATCGCCTTTGCGGTTATGCTTTGCAACATCGGCTAATGTATACTCAGCAAGTTGAGCGTCAGCTCCTATGTCGAATTTTGACTCTGAGAGCATAGTCTGGGCCATTGTTTGCTGAAGGAAATCTGGTTGAGATGGTTGTGGAGGATAACCGTATTCCCGGGAAACACAAAACTACCCTGAACCGTTGCATTATAACTGCTTCTTTTTTGTGCTCCGAGGTACAACTACGATATGCGCCTAATGAAACGAGACATAAACGTCAACATGATATCCACAGTTGCGTTGTTGCTAAAAGGCTTGCAAGGCTTGGCAGAATCGCCTCGGAGATTGGCCAGGTTTGACGCTAAAACCTAACGGCCCGACTGGAAGGTCGGCACGGCGTATCCGACAAAAGCTCAAGATTATTGCTCGGCGACCACTTCCACCGAGTGACAGGCTATATGGAGTACCCAAGCCATCCCCCTTTCCGCAGAAACGTTCTAGCCAGTGGGTCGGGAGGGGTGGCGATCGTTGTCTTCCCTGCAGCTAGTTCGAGTTTTTCTACGAGACAGCCGAGGTAGGCACCGAGGCTTTCCACCTCTATGCACATAACGGCTTTGAAATGAACGCGATTCGTGCACTATCACTGAAACCCCAAGCCATACCATTTATCGCTACGTGGAATCCACGACCACTTGATGTGGGTTCGTCGTCAACATGGCCACTCGCCCTGATTTGTCTGTCGCGTCGTCCTGGCTCTGTTACAGATGGCACGTATAAAGCTGTACAATGGCCCTTAGCAATCACCATGTCCCCATCTATCCGGCAATCAAGTTTCACACATCGTTGCTACCATGCCGGCTAAGCTTTTCTATCTCTTAGGCGAACCTGTTGCGACTGCACGGGAGATCGAAGTAGATCTGGCGCTGGACTGTGATGCGCTCAAACACCTGATTGCTGCGCATTTTGCGATAGTCGACCCCAATGGTACGAAGCATTGTTTCCCCCTCCTTCTGTCTCTATTATCTCTTGGGGTCTGACAGCATGTCCTTCATAGGCATTGGGTTCCAGTCTGAGTACACCATCTTCACCAATGTGGCCGAAATTGCCGCTTCGGCAGAACCCATCAGCATTACGATCGATGGGAACCCGGTGAAAGAGGTTCCTGGCCCAAAGGGACTCCCGATACTGGGAAACTTTTTTGAGATCTATCCCGACCACTTGGGAAATCATCAACGCCTTTTTGAGCAATATGGTCCCATCTTCAAGACCACCAATTATGGCCGTACTGTATACCACACCAACGACCCAGAGCTCAGTGCGATCATTTTCTCAGAAAGCGACTTCTTCACCAAGAAAATCAATGAGTCCCATCCTCTCCACGCAATCAAAAACAAAGAAGCGGGCGTGTTCCTTGGCGATACCGACACGCCTGAATGGAGAACTGCGCACAAGTTCCTCCCGCCTGCGTTCGGTCCAAAGGCCGTCCGTCATTATGCCCCAGTCATGCAGCAGACGGTGGAGGATGCATTCAAGGTATTCGATGCATTCGACGAGCAAGGTGAGGCGTGGAATGTCTATCAATACATGTTGAAGCTCGGGTCACAAGCAGTTGGAAAGCTCGTTCTGGGCATTGATTTCCAACACTTTTCGACCATGAACGCCCCCCCGCATAAATTGATTCTTCTGATCGCCGAGTCACTTGAGCTGAATAAAAAGATCACTGCCAGGGGTGATTGGTATGCCAAATTGCCCTTTGGAGACCCCAAACGTCTCAAAGATATCAGAGGCCAGGTATGGGCCATTGTCGATGAATCCATTCAAAATGCTAGCCGAGGTGGCATCGAGGATCTTCCACTTCAGGATGCCGCATTGAAAGCGCATAACATGATTGGTATGTAAATCCCCACGGTGGCTATTACGCTCTACCAAACTTTCACTAACCTGGGCAGATTACGCCATCCGAGCGACGGATAACAAAGGCGAAAAGTTGCCCAAAACCAGTTTGATCCAGGCTCTGGTGGTGGCTACTGGAGCCGGCTTTACCACCACCAGCTCCTTACTGTCGTGGCTGATCTATAGTCTTGTCTCCTACCCTGGAGTACAGGATAGACTACTGCAGGAGCTTGTGGACAATGACATCGACGCGGACACGCAGATCACTGCTGATTTGACGGACCGTCTTACGTTCATGGATAAATTCATCAAAGAAACCCAGCGCAGACACAACCCGTCCTACCAGCCTGGGCGTACGGCCAAAGTGGACATGATCCTGCCCGGTGGCTACAAGCTGCCTGAAGATTCTGTTGTCATTGGAGCGCTTCACCACCTTCACAACAACCCCAACGTCTGGGATAACCCGACGCGGTTTAACCCTGACCGGTGGGATACCGAAGAGGTCAAGAACCGACACAAGTCGGCCTACATTCCCTTTGCAGCCGGTCCTCGGATGTGTATCGGCTTCAACTTTGCTCTGCAGGAAGTTAAGGTGTTTTTGCCAAAACTCGTCTACCGATACAAGTTCATCAAGGAGACCGAGGGCCCGATCGAGTACGATCCCATGTTCCAGCTGATCCGGCCGAACAACCTGTATGTCCGCGCCGAGCGGCGCGTCAAATGGCCCCCAAAGACGGAAGGTCCCATGTCGACGGCGTCACTATAGACGGGAATTAAAGTACCGTAGGCAGCGATGGGGGCCTAGTTGAGTGCGTCGGTCCTTGTAAATAAATCTGCGTTTATTCTGTTCCATATTATGATCACAATTCCTCTTATTCTTCGCTGGGTTCACCTTGGGTATAATAAGGATGGCAGGGATCAAAGGTTTCCTCCCGCCGTCTTCTTCCCAATCACTTCCTAGGATATCTATCTATCCCCATCAGCACTGCCTGCGAAATGCCTACCTCCAAATGAACACCAAAAAGTGAGGAAGCAAAGAAAAAAAGCCAAAAAGAAACCTCCCCGACTGGGAGTCGAACCCAGGTCTCCCGCGCTTGTTTCCGAATGGGATTGACAAGCGGAAATCATGACCGTTAGACCATCGAGGATGTAATATGATATCGCCGTTTCAGAGTTTGTATTACTCTGACGTGTTATTAGGTCATGGAAACAGACGCCGGCTCAGTTGACTTTTTAAAGTTGGCGAAACCGGTTTACGCGAATCTACCTAAACGCGCCAAAAACAAAATCAAAAGATTAGAACAAAAAAGATTAAGGAGAAGGCTGAGGGTGGGTTATGTGGGGAACAGGCTAAAATTTTGACTCTTTGGTAGATAGACTATTACGCCAGCTACTATACCCATCATGGGATAAGTTTTAGAGTGAGGTGTCAAGGAGACGGAAGTGTGTGCTGCTTGGCTTTGGTTCATGGATTAGTCCATGGTTGGTTGGGGGTATCAGCCCTATTTGTGGGCCACCGTTACTAGTCCTATCGATGTACTTAGTACTAGCTCCACAGTTGCAGGGGAACGAAAAATAGGACGCGGAGGCTACAAAAAGGTAGATATACCAGTAAATAGGACACCTCTACGAATGGGTACTCTAAGCCTGATTTCAGCGTTCGGGTACTGATGGGTGACTAAATTGGTGCATATGACCTGGCTGAAATGTGGAAGCTACAACCGGGGGAACTGCAGCGAGGTTAGTAAGTATCTACATTCAGTCTACAACATTAGTTCTACAAACAAGGATAGGAAAGACTAGTCACGAAAAAATGAACGGAAGAACAGGAAGATTCAAGAAGGTCGCAGCAAATTGGGGTCCTCAATGTTAAAACTAATTGTCTAGGTCGTAGTCCGGATAAACATGGTCCACATTGCATAGAGCAATCACCTCGCAAGAGTCGTCGACAGACACGGTGTAGAGAGGCGTGACTGCCGACTTTGTATCAACATAATGCTCACGGCGGTTACCTTGCATTGAGTGGAGAAAGACTTACCGTCCACCGTTAGGTTCGAACTAGGATATCGCATAACACTCTGCGACTCTGCCTGAGGAGTCAGGCTCTTTTCGCAATCGATCTGATCATCATCGCCACTGAGCCAGTTGCTGCCCGTCCAGACATCGATGTGGTACTTCTTGGTTTCCCAGTCTGCAACGCACTGGACGCAGTAGTCCTCATGACGGAGGTACTTGCGTAGGTAGGGGTCATAGATGATCTCGCAGTAGTCGAACTCGTCTGGAGCAGAGGCGAAGGTCAACGGATCGGCGTAGGTGCCGGTGCCAGCCGCGGTTAGGCCACGACCGCAGTCATAGGAGATGGCCGGGCCTGGAGGGTCGTTGTCCGGGTAGCCGTAGAAGGTATGGCTGACTTCGGGGACGATGAGGTTGGGGAGTGGTGGGATGGTGGCAAGTGCCAGTGGAAGCAATGAGAGGAGGCGCACCATGGTAAGGAATAAGCAGGTCATGTAAGGATATGGGAGGGATTAGGAGTTTGGCAAGAGGTATGGAGAGGAGAAGGAGGCAAGAGAAGGGGAGGCAAGAGAGGGAGGGACATTGAGGGAGGGGAGAAAGAAAAAATGCAGGGAATGTGGAAGGAAAGGATGGATGATTAGGGCATGGCCATGTCATGTTGGCCGAATGGACTGAACATGATGATGAGGGTGGCCAACCATGGGATTGAGGGTGAGCAGGACATGGGCATAAGAACGAGATCCTCGGTTTGGTGGTTGATGACCCTTTTTTCCTCTCTCCGCCCAATTTGTTATATGAAGCGGGAGTGAGTGTGAGATGAGATTGTGAGAAAGACTGTGAGAGAGGGAGGGTCGCTGCGGCCTCGCTGCCTGAAGCAGGAAATCAACTCCGCCTTTTCCCTTTCTCTTCTACCTCCTCTTCTACCTCCTCCTCTTCATTCTCTCTTTTTCTTCTCCTCCTTCTTTCCCTCCCTCCTTCCCTTCCTTCTTTTCCCCGTTCTTTCCACCGCGCCATTGCCAATGGACCCAATGGACCCATCTGACCCATCGCGTGCTTCTCCCCCGTCTCCGCGAGAAACGCGTCTGCACCACAAGATCCTCGCCGAACTCGGCCTCAGTTCGGTCTGGCAATCCCCTCGCGATGTGAAACTGCTCTGTGCCCAGCGCTTTGTCCGGCTCTTTGCTTACGGGGGCTCAACCTTGATTCTAGCATCCTATCTCTCGGCATTGGGCATCGCCGACAACCGCATCGGCCTGTTTATGACCTTGACCTTGGTGGGGGATGTCGCCATCAGCTTTCTCCTTACCTTGTCTGCCGATGCCATGGGTCGTCGGGCCGTCCTGGCCCTGGGCTCAGCCTTGATGGTCGGGAGCGGCATCCTCTTCGCCACGGTCGGCAATTACTGGGTTCTTCTGGCTGCCGCCGTCTTTGGCGTGATAAGTCCGAGGTGGGTGCTCCGACCTCCGAGAGAAACGTCCGGCTATAAATAGCTCCTCATCACCACCGGCCGCGGTACGCTTACAAAATTGACTTCGCAGTGGAAACGAAATTGGTCCCTTCCGGGCCGTTGAGGAATCGACCCTGGCCCATCTGACCCCCCATGACATCCTGAGCGATATTTTCGCCTGGTACTCGCTAATCGGCAATGCGGGCACTGCCCTGGGCATGATGACCGGGGGGTGGGCCATCAATCTTCTCCAGGTCATCTGGGAATGGCCCTACATTCCCGCGTGTAGAGTCATCTTTTTCGCTTACGCTGCTATTGGCGCACTCAAGCTTCTTCTGTCTATCGCACTGAGTTCGGCAGTTGAAGCTGAAGAGAAGCAAAAGAAACCTACGTGTGCTCAACAGACTAGCGAGGGCGAGACACGACCTCTGCTGTCCAATGGAGCGAGCAACCCCACAAGCCCAGACCAGCGACGTCCGAAGAAATCACTACTTTCCTTTGTGGGCGACGCAGAGCTCGTTTCCTTGGTCATTAGACTTGCGATTCTGTTTGGCCTGGACTCGTTCGCCTCTGGGTTGGCATCTTTGTATGTACCACCCCTCGAAAGGGCAGCAGCTTTTTTACTCCAACCAGATTGGGGGGTTATGGTCCGTTGATACTGACACACGTGACAGGTCGTGGATGACATACTTCTTCAAGCGCAAGTTTTCCCTTCCTGAAGGGACCCTCGGGTCCATATTCTTCACAACAAGCCTCATCTCGGCGGCGTCTGTGCTAGTTGCCTCGTCTATTGCCAAGCGCATCGGCAATGTCAAGGTCTGTTTATCCAATCAACCCTCTGGCCCTCGCCATACCAGTCGAGCTGACTCCAATAGACGATGGTCTTCACTCATCTCCCCTCCGCCGTGTGTCTGGCGCTCATTCCTGTCCCTGCAGCTCTCCCCCTAGCCCTGACTTTCTTGGTCCTCCGCTCCTGCAGTCAGACTATGGAAGTGGCGCCGCGATCGGCTTTCCTGGCCGCAGCACTGCCTTCTGACCGCCGTACAGCCATAATGGGCTCTATAAATGTCGTTAAAACCTGCGCTCAGAGTCTCGGGCCCCTTCTGACCGGTGTTTTAGCCGATCGAGGCTACTTCGGGCTTTCATTCACTATTGCGGGTATCTTGAAGGCCGTCTATGATATTGGCATGCTGCTCAGTTTTGCTGGGAAGGAGAAGCAGGCCAGGCGGCCGGCACCTGCAGATCAAGGGGAAGAGACTGCTTAGATGTCCCAGGCGCCGTTGGAGCTAGCCCATCGGCAATACGAGGCTTTCCAACTTGGGGCCACCACTGAAGCCCCGGCTTATATAGATCATCTGCTATATAAACCCTATGTACATACATAGAAACTGGCAGGGTTTCCGCCTGTATTAGAAGTAAGAATGAGGTGCACATACAAGTCAATACGGATTTTGGGGCCGGAATGCAGCCCAATAGGCAGCGTTGTTCTGGCGCCCGAACAAAGACAGCAGGAGCTGGAAACTAATTGGAACATCGAGGTCCAGACATCCCCTGCGGATAAGACAGGTTCAGGTGTCCGGATCCAATATGGGCATTAAGGACCTTCTCGGTCGTACAAAATCGTGGCTTATTAGCCTTGACTCCCTAATTCGATGTTGGTGGTCGTAAATATGTAGATATTCACGCCGCTATCCATCCTTCCCTGGCACCAATATTCCACCGCGTGACTGGCGGGTTGATTGTTATGGATCTATGGCCGGGCCGCCCAAGATGGTGTCCTTGAAGGTCTCTGCTCCAGTATTGCTAGCTCCGCTCGACCTGGGGTAGAATACACTTAGGCCTATTCTAAACTGATGGCTGGTGATAGGGAGATTATCCTCGCGACCGATGATCTAAGCAGCCCTTACCTTGGTCCGATCCAGAAAGGAGCAAAGGAAGAGAACTGACAAAATAGGAAGGATCCTATTGAATTTCTGTCGATTAACTAGTTAATTAGTTAACGTAATCGGTAAGCGAGCGGATCACGCAAGCGAGCGGATCACCTCACGCGTTCTGGTCGCGATTGTATTACACACCTAAATTTAACCAGAAACCATGCCACCAAAAGCGCGTACGAATTCAAAAGAATCTATTGAGCAGGAGGGCCGGCTTTTACTTATAATTTCTGTTTTATAAAAGAAACAAATCTCTAGTATCTGTAAAGCAGTACGTGTCTATAATATTCCCTTTATAATTCTTTAACAGCGGTTTAATGGAGTTACCTCTCGTGTTAAGACACATACTAATTTCTATAAGCTAATTTAAAATAAAGAGAAATTACTTATATAATAGATTCTTTTTCTAGATTAATATAGTACAGGTCCCTGACTATCTCATATATGAAAAATAGCTAATATTTTATTAATAAAGTATAATATAACTTTTATCTAGACTGTTAGAGAAAAATGGGCATATAACTTTATTTAATATTAAAATAAACTTAAAACTTGCTTCTCTTGCTGGTATAATTATCAGCATACAAAGTATAAGGATTCTAAGATAATTTCTAAGTGGTTTATGTCAAACCCTAGGATCGCTTCTCCCTGTTCCTGTTAGCTTAGCTCCCGTTCCGATACGTACCTTGTGAACTGAATCAAAGGTAGTCAGGTTGTTGACTATCTAAAGGTGACTTGATCTGAACAGAAGAAGAGAAGTAAGGCCAGATAGTGCCGCGCAGCTATCCGTAAGTAAGTGCGGACGAGTGTTGTCGCTAAGCTTTACCAAACGTATGGTTACTTAAAGACAATTGGATTGAGCACGAAGAACAGAACTAGCTAAGTACATGAAAGAGTGTCCTTATATCCTATCCTTCGTCATGGCGTCGCCATGATATGTCATGTCGTCGATATGTTATGTCGTAGCGCTGCCATGTCCTGTCGTAGCGCTGCCATGTCCTGTCGTAGCGCTGCCATGTTATAGCGTGTCGGTGACATGTCCGTCGTGGTCACGTGTTGTGTAACCGTCCCGGTTTGTAGGTTGCTCTGATCGGGATTCTACTCGATAAGAGTCCTTGCCTTCCGGACGTGGCCTTCTGCCTAACGTATCCGCCTTACTAGTTTGTTCAGCTAGCAGGGGTCTGTAACAGTTTAACTGTGTATGAATTATTAGAATACAGTATGGAATTACTGATAAAAATATCTATAACTTTAATAAGACTGGCTTTACTATAAGCCTTATAATTACTATAAAAGTAGTTATAAGAATTAAGATAGTTGGTTAGCTATTTCTTATATAACCAGACAATCATGAATAGATTATATTTATTAAGTATTCTAATTATACAGAATAGGCACTTTTATTATATATTATCTTTAAAGATAAGATCCATATTAAGAAATGGTATGAAGATAATGTCTTACCATATAACTAGAAGATTAAAGTTAATACTAATAATTGGATAACTGATAAAATTAGACTATAATGGTGTTACAGACCCCTGCTAGCCAGGTTACTAGCGGAGCGGACTGGATAGGCAGAAAAGTGACGACAAGGCAGGACGGGCAATCAGCAGCTCTTATCAAGTAGAATCCTGGTCTGAGTAACGTCCAGAGCGGCGCTGTGTTACATAATCATCTACCATCAGATCTACCATCAAGGGTATATAGAAGGTATACTGGAATCCAGGAATATGATTAGATTGACTCTCAATCTACTCTAAATGGTATATGATATAGTATATAAAGAATAGGTTATAAGAATATTCTTTTATATACTTAGCTAGTTCTGTTCTTCATGCTTAATAATACTGTTTTTAAGTAACTATATATTTTGATAAAGCTTAATAATAATACTTATCTGTACTTACTTTACGGATAGCTGCACAGCACTATCTAGCCTTACTTCTCTTCTCTTGTTCAGGACCAGTCATCTTAGATAGTTATCAGCCTGACTTGTCTCAATTCAGTTCGAAGGTACGTATTAGAACGGGAGCTAAGCTAACAGGAACAGGGAGAAGCAATCCTAGGGTTTGATACATTAAGCATCAGTCAGTATGAGTATTATCCAGTAATAACTATTCATTATGTTAACTACTTTGAACTTATCATGCACCCTACAGTAGCAGAGCCTGATGATATAAAAACTAATAAGTATGGTTAGTCAGTTGCAAGAAAGCATCACTATCTTAAAATAATAAAACCAGTTACTCGAAGATTGCTTAATAATTAAATCTGTTAAAGTCTGACTATCGGAACCATTTAACAGCAATCAAGCAAAGCTCAGGACTTTCTTGACCTAGTTAGACTTATATCTCAGCATAAACAGAGAAAAGCTTAAAAACAAGATTAATAAGATTCTTTTCATGTCTATCTACCTAACTGAAACAATATTTAATTAGTTTAAACCATATATCCACGAGTATTAAGAAAAGTCAGTAAATAACCAGAATAATAATATAAAACAAATCTTTACTAGTTATACCAGATTTAAGCAGTATCTTGAATAGATATTTAAAAACATTAATATAGCACGGAATGCTGAGTAAAAGTTATAATGATTTAAATAAACTAGATCAATATTTAAGTATGCTTTAGAGTTTTATAAGTTATTAATTATTTAGATTAGGATGATAACGCCTACATTACACAATTTAAAGAAGGATTCGAGATAGAGATTCAAGAAAAACTTATCTAACAGAAATAATTAAATATATTGTTTAAGATAATTAAAGTAATAATTAAAATTAATAATAAGTTATATAAATATAATATAAAATAATAAGAGGATTAATAGACTAGCAGGTCTATATCTTAATAAAATAGCTAGTCAGGTTACCGAGCCAACAATGAAAGATTGGCATAACCTAGAAGCTTGGAATATGAAGATCTTTATAGACTAAAAGTAATGGAGCTGGATACAGCATAGTATCAGACTTAATAGAGTAGAATATCCAAGAAGGAACTCAAACAGTGTAAACAAGACTACTTGTACTTTAGCTGCAGCAAAGCAGGTTACTAGTTAAAGAACTATAGTCAGAAATAGTCTTAAAAGTAGTTAAGAGCTATAAAGCAAGATCAGGACAGAGAAGCCTATAATGTCACTACTATTCAGCATAAAGTTTAAACAGAATCTGTAACACAGACACTAGATAATAAGAAGTTATATATTATTTAGTATGGATAACTATCAGAGAACAAGACGTACTATGATTAATTAAGATAACAGACTATTATAGATGAGCTAACAGCATTACTAAGTTAATCAGAAGATTGATGATTATCTGTATTATTAGCTTAGACCATAAAAATTGATAATAGTAGTAAGCCAGTTCCAAGGAATAACTATCCCAGTATAGTTTAGGATAAATTTAATCTGTTAAATAAAGAGTACAGTACTTAGCTTAAAGATCTTAGATCCAGTAAGAAGAGACTTAGCAAGATATCTAATACTCTGGAAAAACCTTTATCAGAAATTAATAAATCTTGTCTGATATAGTGAGATAAGAATAAAAAGAATTAGAAAGATGATCAGGAAGATATTACTTATTAGTTAGACCATATTTTAAAAAAGGTCTTGAAGAATCTAGCATGATTCTGTCTAAAGCTTAAAAAGATCATGCAGCATTGCCTACATTAAGACTTAAGATGTTGAAAATCATGAAATAAGATTTAGAAATAATATTTACAGAGATACTTCTATTATCTGAAAGTTTGTTAAATATATGGATAAGATAATATAGATTATTATTACTAATTATTAGAGATTAGTCAGAAGATACATATTGTTAAAATAAAATCTTAATATAATAAGCCATATCTGTACGTGTATTTTAAAGAAAGTAAAGATTATTAAAAACATGATAAACTTTCTTAGCTTATATATTATATAAACATGTGTTTAACATATCATGATTGGAAGTACATCACCAACTACCAATCTAGAATACTGGAAGTAGTTAGGACTAAGATAAGTCACTATCTATATCTTATCTTTGATTATGTATGTAAAGAGTACCAGAGATACTCTTACTATAGATTAATATATTGGCTAGTATGTTTTGATAATTAGTATATAATATACTACATAATAAGAATAGAAGGCTCAAGGTTTCTAAGAAGATATTTAAGATAGTTAGAACTTAATTAGCCAGAACAGTAATTAGCAGCCACTGAGTCAGGGCCATATCTAAAGATTTAAGTAATTATATTAGATTAATCAGTCTAAGTATTGATAAACTTTAGAATAATTAGGAACTTTATGAACCCGCAATTTATATAATAACTTAAGATATTTAGATAATAGAAAGCAGAATCTGAACCAATTATAGGACTGAATAGAAAGAATTTGGGAACTCTTGTATTAATAGTTAAGTCAGGAATCATATTTATAACTGTAAAGAATTATTATAAGTATATAGACTTTAATATAACATCTTTAGAATAATATGATATTATATTAAGGATTCTATAGCTTAAGAATCATAATCTATAGATTAATTAAAAGACTGAGAGTCTTTAGTTCACGAATTATGATTATCTAAGATAATACTAGCAAGGACCAGGTATGGGG